ATAATAGAAAAATGTCATATACTAATGATCTCTATTACTCGCCATGGGGTGATTACTTAAATTTGTCATTTTTGCTTGGATAGGAGATGCTGCCAGTTTAAAGCAATAGAAGTGAACAGCAACGAATGTTATACACCACGAAAATTATAATAATGTTCAATCAATTTTTGTGTCTTAATATTTTTTTTAGTGTTTAACAAAATACAGTATTTCCATAAATCTATTATAAACCCTACGATTTTTTTGTAGCATAACCATAGGCTAAACTCTAACATGATTCGCGAGATTTAACTGAATAGTTCGTTTAAAACTAAAAGTTACTTACTCTATGCTTCGCGGAGTCTTTTAGATTTTGCCGAATATAGGGAGTTTGGTGTCTAATATAATATAGTATATTAGAACAATTTAATATAAACCTAAAATATTTGTATAGCATCTTCTATTATGTATTAATACCATGAGGTATTTAGACAGAATAAGACAGAATTTTGTTTTATTTTATTATCATATTTTTTAAACCAAAAACAATTTTTCTTTTTATATCTTTTTTTTAACAATAAAAAAAATAACCAATTATGTGAAATACAAATTGATATTAAAAAAATGTAACGTTAAAATGATATAAAAAAAATATTAATATAAAATTTTAACCGATTAAATTTAAATACAAATTGATATCAAAAAAAATGTAAAGTTAAAATGATATAAAAAAAATGTTAATATAAAATTTTCACCTAAAGGTATAATCTCTATTATTTAACAAAACCATAACTCTTGGTCTGTGGCTTGGTAATAAGCCTTAAAATTCGCTTATACCAATTATAGCAGGTCTAGTGTCTATTAAAATAGGACAATTATTTATCAATCCAACTGCTATTACAATACACATACTTGTTTTATGAAAAAAACATCTCAAGCTAGAATAAACACTGGTTAAATTTGCTAGCCTGAAGCAATAATAACAATGCAATTAAAGTCCCCCAGGCCCACATCAGTTTTTAACCAAGGATTTTGCACCAAGCCAGGATTAAATTGAACCCCGTAGGATTGTTACATAATTACTAAATGAAACATCCTATACCTTTAATAATAAGAGCACAAATAAGTTTTTTACTGCATTTTTTGGATTTAGAGGAGTCTATTTTGTATACCCTTAGAAATATCAAAATCCCGTAACGTCACTGGGGTAGGAGGGTGGGGGGGGGATCTCAGGTCCTCAAGTCCTCTGAAAAATTTGAATAGCCCCCTGGAGGAAATTTTTTAATGGCTCCTTAATATCCACCTGAACTAAAAATAAATTTTATGATGCCCAGTGAGCGATTTATTTTATAATTATATTAAATATTATATAGATATGATTTTATTATTTTAAAATTAATAAGATTATTTAAATTTTTATTAAATGAGTACTATTTTAATAATTATGTCAGCTTGCTATCAAATTCAGTGTTAAAAATGGAATATCAAAATCACTCATAATGTCTAAATATCAATTTAGCATTAACAGTTCAAGCTTAATTTATTTTTATTATTTAAATAATTATATAACCCTAATTAAATAAATATAATCATTTATTAATTGAAAATTAACAAATTTAATAATGTAATTAGCCTAATTTAAAATCACTAATCAACTATATAATTCATTTATAAATAAATTATCATGACTCTTCCTAAAAATACTTCCAAGATTTCTTTATAAAAATTAAGTAGACATTGTAGTAAAGGAGTAATTTATTGTAATATTTTATTTACATATTATGTGTTATATTTGTCAGTTACTAATGATTATATATATGGATCATAGGCGTAGACAGGATTTTCATAAGGGGGGGGGATAATTAAAAAATTACTGGGGGCTTCGCCTCCAGATTTCCTTTTGTTACTTTAGTCTATATATAGTCATAAAACATTTTTACAAATTTTAATAAAAAAAATAAGCCTGGAACAAATATGAAATATATTTTTATTAGTTTATATAAAATAAAAATATAATAAATTACTTGTATTGTATATTATACCTTAATATAAAAGCATGGTATTGATTTATTCCAAACAATTATAAGAAATTTATATATAAAAAGTAAGTAGACATATTGTTGATTTTACTCTATTATATAGAATTAGTTATAAAATACTAGGTAAAATTCCACTTTTACAGACATATTTGACAGTTATAGAATATATTGCAGTTAATAATTTAACAAATTTTACTAATCAATGCTCTTGTTATTAAATATAGCAACAATTTGCATTCAATTATTTAACGCCATCTATTTATTATAAGTAAAAATGATATTTAAATTTAATCTTCATATTATTCATCCCACAATGTCTTTAAAAGATATTTTCTGATGTCCTTATCAATATTTTATAGTTTTCTGTAAAATATATAATTCGCTATATTGGTAAAAATTACTTGATTGTCATTTGATAAATAGATATACTGTAAATCTACGACATATAATATTCCACTGTTTGTATTGTGCTTTAATATTTTTTTAATTTATGATTTAATTTTATCAATAGTTTTATAATTATATTTTACTTTTATTAAGATAAATAAATTAAAATTACTCACTTTATAAAAAATTATATTTGATATATTATATTATTTAGTAATTTTATGGATCTATTATTAATAATTATAATACATTTCACTTCTGTCTTTAGACTTATCTTTGGCTTATATTCCATTTATTAAAAAACATTTCTGGTTCATTTTATATAGTTATAAATTTATTTTCCCAAAAATCTATAAATTATGATGAATAGTTTTATAAAAAAATATCAACTTTTACATTCTTTCTTTTAAATTATTATTTAAGATATATGCATACATATTTGAGGGTCAGGGAGTGGGGGGAGGACTAAGGGGGATATTTTTTATTAGCTAAAAATGATATTTACATAAAGTGATAAATTTCTGAAGGGGGGGGGATTTCCCCTTGCCCCCCACCCTGGCTAAGCCTAGGATATGGATATTTTATTATACGTTTTATAATGTATGATGAGTATAATAATAATGTACGATAAACTTCCTAATATTTTATATATACATTTATCCATATATATTTCCTATTGTGAAAATGAAGGAATAAAATGTTAGAAACCCAATTGTATAATAATCCTCTATTATATAGCATTGTTACAAAATATTAGATAAAATGCCACTTTTACAGACATATTAGACTGTTATAGAATATATTACAGTTGATATTTTAAAATTTGCTAATCAATGCTATTGATAATAAATATCATTCAATTCTTTAATGATATCTATTTATTTTAATAAAAATATTATTAAAAATTAAAAATCTTATTGTTCACCCCAAAATAGATGTAATCCTCATTAGATATTTTTTTCCTTCTCTCTTTTTAACGTATTTTTAGGAAAATTTTTTCTTGAAAAACAGTTTTGAGTAAAATTTTTAATATGAGTATATTTTTAATTTTATTAGAAACTACTATTACTTTAAGACATAATTTATCTACTAAAGGTAGTGCGACAATAATATATATATCATAATTGTTTGCATTATATCACTCCTTATTTCCTAGTATTCTAATAGGATATTCCTGCGGTGTAGATAACTAAAGGCTTCAATATATTTTCTTACTTATTTCTTCTTAAGATTTTTAATCATAATAAATTATAGATGAGTTTACATTGTGAGTTTCATGGCTATGACTGCAAATTAACTATTGTGGCTATGTAATTAAATATTATTACTTATGCTGCTGATAGCCTTCTATTGCATAATTTAGAATAGCAATAATGATCAACTGTCTAGTTAGTAGTTATATATATATCATTAAAAATGGAAAATAATCTTTTATAAATTTATCTTCTCACAAGAATTTTCTCTATTATTTATCTAGCTCCCATATTGTCATCTAGATCTAACCACATTTTAGTTCTATGATTTGGATTAATCGTTTATATTCTCTTCTTCAAGAATTATTGATTTGGTTTACAAATTTGTCCTTATTAGTCAATTCTATAAATTGTCTAAAATGGTAACACAATATATAAGTTTAATGATCTTTTATCAATTTAGGTTGCTAAGAATTATATTGCATTGTGTGGTTTTAAAACAATTATAAATTGAGGTTGATCTATTTTGTCACTTATAATTCATTAGGCAAAAATTTTTTTAAATCCGCAATTGAAAATATTTAATATTGTAATATATGGATAAATTTTTGTATTAAAAAATATTGTCTTTAGAAATGTCTTGCATTGTTTTACTTTCATTATTTATATGCATAATAAATGACAAATTCAGAATAATTGTTCAGTTTAAAAATTTCAATTAAAAAAGATAATATATTATTATGAAACCTGGCTGAAGGCTGGGCATTTAGCTGTAGTTATGAGAATCGTGAATATTATTATATTACAACCAATGATAATATCATTGATTACAACTCAAAAAGAGATAATTCTATCATGAATTTCTAGAGATTTATGTGATTGTTGAGGTCAAGAAATTGTATGATTTTCTCACAAGCCTCTACTTTCCCCGATAAACAGATAGGTGCAATATTAAATAGGACTGAATTGAGGATTACGATAAAATAACCGTTTTTATTCCACTTTTGGATTTTATTTTGCCTAAAATTAATAAAAGATTGGTTATATAAAATATCATTTTTTATTATATTTTAAAATATTTTACAAAAAAAAGTTTAAATAAGTAAATTTACCAATAATTTAGCTTATAGCCGCAAGCAATGTCCACAAAGATAAATATACATTTTAAATAAGAGACAACTAATATATAAAGTAGTATAATATTACTACAATTATAAATATTTCAACAAATCTAATATATTATAGAGATATTCAATGTGAGCTAAAAATTTAAAAATATTAATGCACCTCTTTATATAAAATCAACCTTTAAGCTTATTTTCTCTTTTGTATGCTTTTTTGCTTATGATTGACTTCGACAACCAGTAAACATAAGGTTGACATATAATTTTTCATTATCATATGGCATTACAAGTTTCAAAGTCGAAATTATGCCAATATGTAAACATATTATATTTATAATGATAAATTCTTAATAATGATTCAGGAATCAGATATAGTTCATAGATGCTTTAAAAAATATGATTTTGACAAGTCAAAATGTAGTAAAGAAATTTTAAATTATAATACATGTAAAAAATTTTGGGTAAATATACATAGATAAACCATATTTAAAAATATAATAGACGCATGTTGTTAATGAGAGGCGAAGAAAAGACCAAAAGCCTTATGTTCCAACCGAGCAAGAAAGAAACCAATTAAAAAAAGACTTCATCAAAAATGAAAAATATACATAATTTTATAATAAATTTTTTTTGTGAAGATAAATAACAATATACTATTTAAATAAAATTTTTGCAAAGATTTATTTATTAAAATACAAAAAATTAATAAAATAAAAATTGATTTTTTTAAATATTCTATTAAGAATTTTTAACTGCATATATAGGTAATAATAGTATTGATTTTTAGACTAAATCTCAAAAGTCAAAATTTATATCAGTTCATAATAGATTTATTGAATATTTTTAAATCATGGTTATATTTTATTAATTGACACAAATGCTAAAAAAGCAGAAATAAGAACCAAACAAAATATTGCTTAAAAATAAAAACAATTTGAGAAATTGATTTTATTATAAAATAAGATTATATATAATTTTTAATGTAGTATAGGCATTTTTTTATACAAATTATGTTGCTCTATATGATTAAATTTTAGTTTAGCTTTATATAACCTTAATTTCTATATTCTTTTCTATTTTAAAAATCTTAATTTTAATATATTTTTTTAATTTATAGGTGTCACATTCAGCCTAGAAAAAATATTTACTCATAAATTATCAATTATATACTGTCTCAAAAAAAATATGAAAAACCCTCACATTCTGCATGCTCAAAACTAATATATACTTTGCTAACATATTTTTATCAAAACACATTGGGATATTTCTGATCATCCATTGTTTTCTTTTTAGAACATTCTTATAACTGTTTGTAAAATTTATGATTCACTTTGGTTTGGCATTTTAAAAGCCTTGTAATTTATCCCAAGCTTGGCCCATTATAAGTATTTCAGGCAGTGATCAAAACAATGGAATATTTCTGATCATCCATTGTTTTCCTTTTAGAACATTCTTAAAATTTATGATTCACTTTGGTTTGGCATTATAAAAGCCTTGCAATTTATCCTAAGCTTGGCCCATTATAAGTATTTCAGGCAGTGCTTCAGCCTAAAATAAGAATTTTGGGTCAAAAAAATTTGAATTTGACTTTTAAAATGTATCAATGCAGATTCTAAAAATTGTGTTTTAAGAAATAGATATATTTGTGTCACTTTGTTGTAATTTTTTAATGAATACATATTAGAGGTCTGCAATGGGTAAGTTTTAGCCCATCTGCCCATACTTGGATGGGTGTGGTCAGGTTTTCTAAAATATTTTCAACATTGGATGGGTGGCTGTAAAAACTTTTTTAAGCAATGGGCAGGCATGGCCGGATAAATTTTTAATTTTTTTCAGGTGGAGGTGAACAGATTTCAGTTACTAAATATTAGTGATGTGAAGCAACGTCGTAAAGGAATAACATTCGTTTCCAGAGGTAACGAGTAACGGTAACGCGTTTCTTTTTTTGAGTAACGGTAACACAAAACGTTACTTTATATTTTTTATTAAAAAATATCAACAAAAAGCACATATTTTATTGTATTATAAAATTTTTTTATTTATTTTTTAATTCTTAATACAAATAATTTAAGCCGAGTTTTAATTCATATCAACCTTTTCTTTCATTTTTATTTAAATTCTTGTTAAATTTTCTTTCGAAATTAATAATCAATCAAAATTCAAAGTAAATGTTATAAAGATATTATTATTCTTATAATTTATTTTAAGAATATTATGTCCATAGTACTTCTTCAGATGAAGATGATTTAACCCTTCGCTCGTCCCAATTTGAAATATATTTTAAACCAATAAAGAAAATTAATGGAAGTCTACACTTTGTAAATGTAAATATCCCAACACAAATATTTCAACCTCAATGTCCAGCAGTTCAAACTTAAAAAAGCATTTCAAGGTAAAAAGATGAATTTTATTTAATAGAATAATATTCTTTCATAATATTTTGAAAAGCTTAATCATGGAATTAATAGGATAGGGCCCATTCCTGTAAAAAACCAATCCGGTCTTTTTACTTTTTATTTTATGTTATTACATTTATTTTACATTATTATAATATTTTCTAAATATATTTTTTTTAAACAATGCAAATGCACAACACCCTCTAAATTTTATTCTTTTTTAAAATAGATTTATAGTATTTTAAAAGTTTTTTTTATAAAAATAGAAAGGAACACCCAAAGTTTTAATTATTTTAAATCTTTTTAAATAATAACGCCACTTTTATTATTTTTACCTTAAATAAAAGAATTTTTATATGGTATCTGAATTATGGAAATATTTTACAAAAGACAAAGATAATTTTGCAAAATGCGTTATCTGCGGAATCATCGAGTTTACCTTCAATACGGCAGGAGATATAGATACTCTATATCGTAGAAGCTTATTTCCAGAAAATCTAGAGACTCGTATTTATTTTAAAAAATCTAATATAATTTTATATATTAAATACAATTTTATAATTCATATCAACATAAAATGGATATATTATCAAATGTATGTTTTTTTAATTATAGTCTTATTGTAGAAATAAAAAAATTAAATTAAATGCATTATTTGATTTTTTGCATAAAAAATATTGATTTCTTAATTACATTTGGTTTGAAAGGGGGTGGTGAAAAATCAATATAAATATCGAATCGGTATCAGTATGGATCGGTTTTGAAGTAATATCGGATAGGATAGGTGAAAAATATGTGGATCGGCACAGCCCTAAATATAAGCAATAAAATTATACTATAGTAATTGGCTGGGAACCAACATTAAAAACCCAAGATTAACAAAATATTGGTATTGGTACAAAGTATTATATTGAGTTTTTTATATCTTCTATTTCTGACTATAATTGTTAATAAATTTAAAGATTAAAATAATGATTTTAAAAAACTTTGTTTAAATAATATATATATATATGAAATAGTGGCGTAGCCTTGCTTTGTTGTAACCATAGGGAAATTTTGTAGCAAGGTTTTTAAAGGATGCCCTTCCTGACATCAACCTCTTTAAGTGGTTTTTACACCCCGTCGAGGAGACGGTGATCCTATTCTAGACCCACCAGTTTACGGGTGATCGAGTTAGGGTTGCGACTTGGAATGTTGAGAGTATGACGAGAAGAGCGGGAGAAGTCGTCGATGTATTGCACAGAAGGCATATAGATGTGTGCTGCATACAGGAGACTAGATGGAAAGGAAATGGGACCAGAATGATTGGCAAGACTAGCGAAAAGTATAAATTCTTTTGGCAAGGAGGTAATGATGGTAAGGCTGGAGTTGGGGTATTGGTTGCGGAGAAATTGGTAGACAAAGTAGTCGAAGTGAGAAGGCTAGACAACCAGATAATGGTTATCAAGATGATTTTTGGTAGAAAGCTACTCGACATATGTTCCTCAGGTTGGAAGAAGTGAAGAGTCTATTAGGGGTGACATCGAGACTGGCAAATGAAGTGGGGATTATCCTGGCTGGTGATCTGAATGGACATGTGGGAGCGAGTAGTGAGGGTTATGGAGGAGTACATGGAGGGTTCAGTTACGGCATGAGAAATTTTAAAGGAGAGAGGATTTTAGATTTTAGTGATGCCATGGATATGATTGTCTGTAATACAATGTTTAAGAAAGAATCAGAGAAGCTGGTGACTTATAAGTCGGGTAGTACCCAAAGTGCAGTGGATTACTTGTTATTATGGAGATGTGATCGATGTATAGTAAAAAATATGAAAGTGATACCGGGAGAGGAATGTATAAATCAGCATCGACTAGTTGTAGGAGATCTCACTCTTAAAGGTGCCAGGGTCACTAAAGGAAAGTTTGTCCCAAGGCTGAAGGTTTGGAAATTGAAGGAGGAGAGTGCTAGACGTCAATTCAATATGGCATTAGCGATTAGGGAGGCGGAGGTGGCACAAGTATCTAGGGTGTATGGCAAGTGGGAAGCCATGAAGAAAGCCTGGGTAATGACAACTGAGGAGGTATGTGGATGGACAAAAAGGCTGCCTAGACATAAGGAGACTTGGTGGTGGAACCCGTAAGTAGCGAAAGCCGTGGATGAGAAACGGAGGTGTTTCAAAGTATGGTATATTCGCAAAGAAAATAGTGATAATGATATTTACAAGATGGTTAAAAAAAATGCTAAGAAATTAATAGCGAAGGCTCAAGAAGAAAAAAGACACGAGTTTGCTAAAGAAATGGAATGCGCTGATGAAATTGGAAATATGGTTCGAATGGCAAAACAGATGTAAAAAAGAGGCAGGATGTGATAGGTGTAAAGTGTTTGAAAAATATGGAAGGAAAAATGGCGATTGATGGTAGTGGTATTAAGAACACCTGGAAGATTTACATGAAAGGACTTTTGAATGAAGAAAATGAATGGGATAATAATATTAGTTGCGCAAAGGTAGAAGGTCCAGGGTGTAAATTTAGCAAGGACGAGATAAAGAGAGCAGTGAAAAAGATGAAGAAAGGGAAGGCATCGGGTTTAACGATGGTGGTATCAGAGATGTTTAAAGGTTCTGATGATTAGGGATTGAATGGTTACTGAATTTAGCTAATCAAATTGTCACAGGAGGTACTATTCCCGAGGACTGGCGAGAAGTATAATTATCCCAGTATACAAGGGGAAAGGTGATCCTTTAGATTGTGGGTCTTACAGAGCTATTAAACTCTTGGAACATGCAATGAAAGTGTTTGAGAGAGTGTTAGAGAAGCTGTTTAGGGAACCAATTAAAATTGATGAAATGCAGTTTGGTTTTACATCGGGAAAAGGCACGACAGATGCAATTTTTGTGGTGAGACAAATTCAGGAGAAGTATCTTGCGAAGGAAAAGAAACTCTATTATGCGTTTGTTGATTTGGAGAAAGCATTTGATAGGGTGCCGCGTGAGATTACTAGATGGGCCTTGAGAAAATCAGGTGTGGAGGAATGGTTGGTTACCGCAGTGATGGCAATGTATGCTGGAGCATAAACAGCAGTACGGACGGATTATGGTGATAGTGACAGCTTTGAAGTGAAGGAAGGACTTCATCAAGGATCCGTGTTGAGTTCATTAATATTTATCTTAGTAATGGATGTGGTGGCTAGAGAAATGCGCGAAGGACTTCCCTGGGAGATATTATATGCAGATGACCTTGTATTAATGGCAAACAAGGGAGAATTGAGGGTAAAGTTAGTAAATGGAAGATGACTATGGAAGCAAAGGGCCTGAAAATGAATGCATCAAAAACAAAGGTGATGATTGGTGGGGAAAATCTAAAGATGGAGGAATCCGGTAAGTGGCCTTGTGTTGTATGTGGGAAAGGAGTTGCTAGAAATTCTATCCAATGCACCAGATGCCAGAAATGGGTACATAAAAAATGTAGCGGGAAAAAAGGCAGTTTGATGTTAGAAAGAATTACCTTTATTTGTAGAACATGCATGAAAGGGACACATAATATTGATAACCTAAAAAATGGTGGTCTGGATATTGGCAATGGGTTAACCCTAGAAAAAGTGGAAAAGTTTTGTTATTTAGGTGATATGCTAAACGCAGATGGTGGTGTAGATTATGCCGTTGTTGCAAGGATCAGAGAAGCTTGGAAGAAGTTCAGAGAGATGTCGTCTATTCTTACAAATAAAAAAGTTTCTCTGAAGTTAAAGGGGAAAGTTTACGTAAGCTGTGTGAGGAGTTGTTTAGTTTATGGCGGTGAAACATGGGCAATGAAAGCGACTCACGAAGCCAAATTAGAAAGAACAGATGAGGATGGTTTGATGGATGTGTGGGGTATCTCTGAGAGAGAGAAAAACTAGCAAGGAATTGCGAGCAAGATTAGGTATAGAAATGATTGGTATGGTATTGCGACGAAATAGACTAAGATGGTTTGGGCATGTGGAACGTATGACAAGAGATGACTGGGTAAAGAGATGCACAATGATGGAAGTAGGAGGATCAAGACCTAGAGGAAGACCCAAGATGACGTGGACAAATGTGATAGCGGCGGATATGAGAAGCATGAATCTTACAAGTATTGATGCTCAGGACCGTCAAAAATGGAAAAGAAAAATCAGAGGGAAAACTGGCCTACCCGGGTAAACCTGGAAATCGCCATAAAACGGAAAAGAAGTGGCGTAGCCAGGATTTATCCAATAACAAAATTTTACAGAGAATTTCATTATAGACACATAAAGATGTTACCTTATAATATATTATTTTTGTATATATTTAATTTTTTTAAGTAACGAGTAGCCCGTTACTTTTTTGAAAAGTCGGTAACGCGCGTTCCTTTTTTGAAAAGGTAACGAGTAACGGTAACGCGTTCCTTTTTTTAGATGTAACGAGTCGGTAACGCGTTTCTTTTTTGTAGTAACGTTTACAGCACTACTAAATATAAGTTATATTTCAGTATAAGGCGGGCAGACAGGTTAAACAAAATTTATAGGTAAATGGGTGAAAAGGCGGGTAAATCTTTTTAAAAATATTAAAGGTAGATGGTCAGGTTAAAAAAAATTTCCAATAAAGAGTAGGCGAGCTTTAAACCTCTAGTACATATATCATATTAAAAAAATACACATGTATAAAATATTTACAAAATAATATATATGGAATAATTATGTTTTGACAATATATTTTCAGTTTTTATCAAGGCATCCCATACCCTACTAAATAAGGTTAATTTATACTACTCTAAATGATTGTTTAATAATTGGAAAAATTATTATGAATAGTTAAATGTTTAATCTCGTCAAAATAGTTGTTAAGCTATATTAAATATTTTATTATATTTAGGAAGTCAATAATTCTATAGCTATTGCTTTTTTCCCTTTAATATATTTGTTTCCAAATATATAATAAAATTATAATGGTAAGATACTAAAATAAAATTGTGCCTATATTTTATAGCTTAGTTTTTGTTTAATTTTAAATGGTCACTAGATTGTAGATTTAGGGCTAACTTATTATTGTGTAAAGAAATGTATCCTCTTTTCCACTATAACAAGATTTGCGATGAATATGTTTATATGGGAGTATTTTAAGCTTTTTTTCCTTTCAGCAATTTTAAATGAATCAAGCGAAAATGTCGATACATGTGAAATCCTAAATATGTTTACCTTTGTCCCATGGAATCAGTAATCTCGTGGTTTGAGCTGTTAGATTCCAGCAGAGCCAGAGGTAAGATCATAAATATAAAAAAAAAGGCCGGCCAATAAATTTCTGATAGTCGAAATATCAAAAGTATCTTGATAGAATTATGAAGATAGTAATGAGCACCAATTCTCCCCCCCCCCCAACGGAGTCATATCTAACGTGCACCAAAACTGAGCAATAAAGATAATAAAAAAGAAATTATGAAGGCTTTTATTATAATTTTTTTATAAAATATAATATTATCACAATTTATTTACTCCAAACATTATTTTATTAGAAAATATAAATAATCAAAAATTAAAAAGGATTATTTTTTTGGTTTGAATTACCTTGATAAATTATTGTTATTTATGATTTTATGTTTATACAAGGTAATTGCTTTGCATTATCGAATCTCCTAGAGATTAGGGGTAAATTTGATGCAATTTTTCTTCTTTAATTCTTCTCAAATGACAAACCTAAGTTATCAATAATTATTTATTTATTTTTATGCCAATAAAATTTAAAACATTTAATGAAACCTTTCTATTTTCCGAAAATTTTTGTATGAATTCATTGACATCTATTTTTCCTATTAAAAGTAAATTAAATAATGGTTTTAGTTATTACAAATTAGAAATGTATGCAACCTTTTTAAAGACACTTCCGATTCTTTTTACCAATCTCAGTGGGTTACATAAGAATGTTTATATAGTGGATAGAATAATATAGACCAAGATTATTAATAAATATATGTGAAGAGCAAACGGGCTTTTCCCCTTTAATATATTGACCTAAACAAAGTCCAGACAAAGGTGGTGGAAAAAGACTTAGAAACTAATTATCTAAATTCGTATCAGATGTTTGAACCTAGTAAGACAAATACTAGCCAATTAGACAGGAAATAAACATATTAAAATCAATGATAATTGGTCAAATTTGGAAATATTAAGCCAGTATTTAAAAAAAACGAATGATTGAATGATCGGGCGGGTCCAAATATATTTCTAAAAAATACCTTCTGTAAATTTATGATATGTTTTCTCGGATTCCTCTTCGGCATGATTAGCAGCTATTTTTAGATTTAAGCATAAGGTGTATGGATCATACTTGTCCGCTATCGATTTGATTTCGTCAATAATGGCATTTAATTCTTCCCGGGTAGAATTTATCGCGTCAATCTTAAAAAAAACCATGTTATTTTAAATAAGTAAAATATCTAGATCAACAAAGAAAAAACTAATCAATAAAATATTAATTAGTTATTATATATACTCCAACTTATTCTAGCTTTTTATATTTTAAATTATTAATTCCATAGAAAATACAAATCGTTTTAAAAATATATTTTCGAATATTTGTCCAGAATACTGAAAATTTTTTAAAAATAAGTTAATATTCCTTGTGGACCTTTTAATTTCTAACTCCATTTCCATTATTTTTTTAAAAAATTAAATGATCCCTTTTTTTGTATGAAACATTAACATTTTTAAATTTTTGAAACGAATAATGATCTTATTATTCATTCCTAAGAATAATTAATATTTGATTCGTCTGAATCTGAACAATCAAATATTCAATTGGTACAGATCCGATTAATATGTTTGCATACCTAACCTATAATTTTAATACGATTCTTATGCCATAATTTCAGTAAACTCGTTATAAAAGCTTTAAAAAAAGGTTTACTGTGAATGAAATATAATATACTTTGCTTAATAAAATCATCTTTTTTTCTTCCATCATAGGTTTTTTGGCCAAATTTTCTCCTTAAAAAGTTTAAAAATAAATAAATTATATTCTATAAATATTAAGATAGATGGCTATAAAAAAATTTAAACAACTAAAGATTACAGATATAACTCTATCACTACAATCATGACACAATTATAGTCAGAGACCTGCATAAACCATCTGCATAGCATGACCAATTTTTTTAAAATTTATATTTATTTTTAATTTTTATAAATATGACGATTTAAATTATTTCGTTCGGCCCGTGTACCCGGGCTTAGGGCTGGACCTGCAGATCTCTGATTATAGTAAAATTCTGAATATTAATTTTAATAATTTCCTAGGTTTGTTTGAATACAGATTAACTTAATATAAACTAAATATATAAATTTTTTAATTATTTTGCTTCCCACCTACTTCAGGAGTAAAAAAATAGGGTTAGAGCAGCTCGATTTAAAAAAGGCTAACCCAATATCTTCACCAAAAAATATCATGCAAGTCGAGATTTTATTATAGATGTCCAAACATTTCTACCACCTATGAATAAAAAATCTATAGGCTTGCGTAATATTTATTGGCTAAAATATTGGGTTAGCTGTTTTTAGAAAATTGAGAACTTGAGTCATTTAACATTAGTTATGGGTTCAAGAATTTTGATAATTGCTTGAAAATATTACCATATTTTAAAAAAAAAATAGTGGAGTAATTCATAGCGCAAACCTATCCCAAAAGCTGGGATTGAATTTCATAAACATATATATATTTTATAAATAGGAATTATTTTATATTATGACTTTTTCGCCTATATTTTTTTGTATTAAGTATGACGGATATCCACTTTATGACTGAAAATAGCATAACTCGAGTCTGATCCAAGCTAAACCTCAATGTAGTGTTGTTAAAACGGCTCGATTTTTAAAAACGACTAACCCAATATTTTGGCCAAAGAATATTACCCAAACCTAGAGATTTTGTTCATATATGGCAGAAGGGTCTGTACAACTATCGAAATCTCGAGATTCGCGCATTATTATTTTGGGTAAAATCTTAATTTAAAGTAGGTTAAATAGACCAGTTTAACACTACCTTAATGTTTAAGGCAAGTATAAGAAACTTTTAAATTCCTTGCCAAAAATATACTTTCACTATAACCTGGTTCATAATCATAAGAGAATTATTTTTTATTGTATTTTATTACTATTAGTATAACAACGATTTATTGAAAATAAATACAATATAGTGTTGTAAACGAACGCGTTCAAAATGAATGCGTTCGTGAACGAAGTTCGTTTTTTTGAAAAAAGGTGATGAACGGCGTTCCTTTTTTTTGACGAACTTTGAACGTGAACGCGTTCCTTTTCTTTGATGAACGCGTTCAATTTTACGTTCGTTCAATTTTAAAAACACTTTTTATTTTTATTTATTTGAAAAATTAATATTAATCCGCATTTTTTAACAAAAAAGTCTTATATTTTTATTTATTTGAAAAATTTATATTTAATCCAATTTTTAAACAAAAAAGTCTTATATTTTTTAATCAGCTGTTTTTACTTTTTCCTTTTTCATATTGCAATTAACGTACTATAGTGCGAAGATAAGATTAAAGTTTATTAATTTGAATATTTTATATTTTAATTTAATAGATTAGCATTTGAATGGATATAAATATTTCATCATCAGATTCTGAAAATCAAAATTCAATATTAGATGAATTAGAATTACCATGGCCCAAATATCAAAAATATTTCACTGTTTTAAAATCAATTCCGAGATATCCTTTTTTTTTGACGTGGAAGAAGAAGGCAGATTGGAGGATGATAACATAGCTCAATTTTTTGAAACAATGGATAAAACATTAAATGTTTTTAATAAATTCCCCCTTTTTGTTTATCAAGTATAACACCGCAATCCCTTCATCTGCCCCTGTTGAGCGAGTTTTTAGTATAGCTAACGCTGTATTAACTGACAAGCGTTCCTTGTTATCAGATGAAAATTTTGAAAAGCAATTATTATTAAAAAATTAATAAGAAAATTTTTTTATAAATTTATTTTTTTATCGCTCTATTATATTGTATTTATAATTATATTATCAAAATAAAACTATTATTTTTTATCATGGCTAATATATTGTGTTGAAAAATATAAGGCATTTATTTATATTAAATTAAATTTAAAAAAAAATTTATCATAAAATTTTGAACGTATGAACGCGTTCATGAACTTGAGCGCGTTCCTTTTTTTGAATTTGAACGTGAACGCGTTCGATTTTTGTCAATGAACACGCGTTCGATTTTTTAAAAAATGTTTACAGCACTAATACAATATGATATATTAATATAATAACAAGGAACAATTTTTTTATTTATAAAAGGAACAATTAATTAGTACAACTAGTAAAAGAATGCTTTATATTTTATAAAATATTTTATGATGTAAACCACAAACACATGGTAATAAGATTGATTCATTTTCTCGTTTAAATTTAACAATGTTAAAGCCGAGTAAAAATAAAGAAAGAAGCTAATATCACGTGAACACATGAATGTTTTAAACGCTGCATCGCAAATAATGTATTTCAAATGATATCGTACAAACTGATCAAATTACCGCTTGATGTTAGGCTTTGTCTTCGCAGGCAATTAAAAAAAGCGCGATGAATACGAGATTTATTTTCGCAGGCATAAAAAATTTATTCCCGCGGTAAATGGTGTCTACTCTCTTTTTCGCCTAATAACGTGATTTTAATTTAAACATATTTTATTTTTTTTAATTTCTACTATTAAACTTTTTATTATGAACAAATATTTAGTAAAATAGATTTTTTTTAGAAATATTAAGAAACTAATAAAGAAAATTATCAAAAGATTTGGAAATGAATACCTTGAATGATGTTATATTTTGTTTTCTTTGCTTAGGAATTTTAGTGGGATTAACCTAAATTAAATGTAATTTTTTACATTCTCTTTGTCATTGATTGCACTCTTTTCTTCATTTAAAACATATTGATAATGACTAGAATTAGATGGCAATAAATTCGGAATTAATTGAAATGACAAATTTATATTAAGAAATTAATAACCTCCTTCAAAGAAAGCATCATCACTATGACTTAAATCTAGATTCGATTTACAAAATGGAGTGATCATTATTGGTCCAAGGAAACAAAGTGCTTCAAAATGAATTCACTTTCTTTTAAATCCAGATTCTTTCTCTTACATATGTCTTTTAAGCTTTTATATTTAAATTTAGCATCTAATACTAATAATTTAAATAATCAGTATCTAATTGTTAATATAACCTAACCTGCCATATTATGATTTATAGATATTTCTTGAAACTCTTTTGCCCTTCTAAATTTATTTTTATGCTTATCACTACTTTATAAGCTTGAGATTGTGTTATATCCTTAAATGAAAAAGATAAAAGAATACTAAGTTTATATATTTGTATAAATAAATAGTAATTTACTCATCTAATTTTTTCAAACTAAAAATCCTACTTAAAGTTACGAATTCGCAAAAATGCAATAAATGAATTTTGGCGAAAAAAAATGCATGAATATTTGCTAAAGACAATCACGTCTGTTTATATTGTTTTTAAATTTTGCGAAAATTAAATGCTCGAATTGCCTGCGAAGACATAGCCTTAGAAACAATTTTAAAAAACGCAAAATGGTTTGCTTTTTTCAATAATTTTTTATTAAGTCCTTTTACACGTGGGTAGAACTCGGGCTTTTTCGCAAGAAAACCGAAAAAACCTTGTTACCCAGATAAGAATGGATAGGGCACTAAAAACCCATTCTTAGTTTTTAAATTATTATATATAAATAAAATATATATAAAATGTAAAATAAATAACTTATCTTTTAAATGGAATATTAGAAATTATTATTTAAATAAAAGGGCAGATGATAATAAAATTTAAAAAACTAATCAAAATTTTGAATTGATTATACTAATAGATAGACAACCTTAATTTAAAAATGGACGAGTTTTTTTTATTAAAAAAGAACGGCAAAAAGCAAACGCTAAATTTGCGTGCACTATAGGATTAAAATATTGTGCGTATAAGGGTTTAAAGACCATGAAGTCCAGCCCGATTAATCAATTTATCAAATTCCTCGCTAAGGTGCAAAATCATTTGTTTTTATAAGTAATAAAATTAATTTTTTCGTCCCCTTTTAAAAATGAAAATTTAACCTGGAGGGTTCGAATATATTTAATTTTCTTATAGGGAAGATTTCTTATTTTTGTGATGAAATTGAATAGAGATTGCAATTTATAATTTTTAAAAAAAGTAAAATAAATTCACTATAATCTTTTGCGAAATAAAAAATATTTTTATAAGTTAACGAAGAAATGTACTAGAAAAGCATTTGTAGTTGCCTAATTCATGTTTAATGTGTAATTAAAATATGTGCTTATATCGGTTTAAACAGTAAGGGCTTTTCTAGCATACATATTCTTCCTTAATTATGGGATAAATAATCGATATTTTCGTTTTTACATATATAAAAAGTAAAAAAATAAGTTATAATCTGATTTGGGAACCTTAAAAAAAACAAACTCATATCTGTCATAAATAGAATTAATGAGTGGGACCTAAATGTCACTTTATTCTAAAAAATGGTACTATATGACTAAGAAATGCCATTTGATTGAAAAAATATTTAATCTTTAAATGGCAATCGAAAGTCTCTATAAAATCAAATAACGTGGTTCAATACTTACAAGATAAAATATAAGAGTATTATTAGGGATGCAAAAAATATAAATATAAATAAAACAAAAAGGTTTTTTTTTCTTATTCCATAAAAAATGTGGAAAAAACATAGCTTTAAATATCATTTTTAAATAGAGGTGGGCGCGGGCCGTGAAATTACGCATGACCCATCGTGTCACGGTGGGTCACGGCGTGAGTGTGAATAAATTTTAAATTCCAAGGCATGACGGGTTCCCAAAATTTTTCCCGGGCGTGAACATAAATTTCCCGTGAATCACGGAAATTTTAATTTTTATAATTGTTTTTTATAAAT